AGAGATTCATTGCAACACTATTGATATTGATCTTCCCTGACAATTATAACATTAAAAGACCCCTAAGAAATCACTTAAGCAATCCGATCACCATAAACTAGATATTACATTGAATATTCAATACATAATAAGGTTGTGAATTGTGATGATGACATTGAAAATTGCTTTTCTAACATCATGTAAGAAACAAAACTGGTATTCTCTGTAAACCGAATCACTTGCTGCTAGAGACGATTGCAATCTCTCAACCTTCCGTGAATCTATGTCCACAATTAGGGCAAGTGTAATACGTTGTCTGCCCTTCGTCAGCTGATCTCGTCTGCAAAATCCGAAAATCTCCGATAAACACAAACATTCTTTGAGATGAAACAAGAACATTTTGAAACACAGAATCGAAAAGCTTTGTTTTGGGGCCTTTACCTGTCTAGTCGTGTATACAAGCTCCGGATGCTGGCATTTCTCGCACGCCTTTTTGATCTGCAAAGAGTATAATCAAAATCAGAAGTCGTGGATTGAGAAACTAATATGTAAAAAAAAACTCTTTTCCAATTATAAACCTTTGGTAGCTCAGCTTCCTCCTGTGTTTTTTCACCAAACAGAGATATTCCTAGTTCTCTTCTTATATCCTGCGAAAAGTATAGAAAACCGTGAGCTTACACTAATTCCGCATTAGGGTAGTCTCTGTTTTACCCCAAAACATCCAAGAAAATGAGTTTACACTAGTCACGATGCAATGTTCTTGCAAGAATCACGTCTCAAACATTTTCATTGCCTAATAACAATGAACTCGCGGAAATCAAGAGCAGCGATCTTTGCTACTCCGTGAAACAGAGACCAAACTCGAATGATTTACACACAGAGTGTTAGTTTATATGATGCAGCACACTGTTGGGTAAAGGGAAAAAAAAGACATACCTCAGTAGTAACTGTGTAAGCTATTTTCTTATCGACGATATCTGGAAAAAAAAAACAACGACGATAATAAGACTAACATAACCAACCAAGAAACCAATAAACTGTTTGATTTTGATATAAAAGAGAAGAATTCATTGAATACCTTTTGCATTTCTCGATGTTTTACATAGCGGACATTCCGCATGTCTGGGTGATTTCAAGAGCAACATTGTCCCACACAAATTACAGAACAAGAAGCTGCTTTCTTTAGATTTCTCCATTTGAAACTAAACCTTTAACAGAGAAAACACAAAAATAAACACACCATAATAACTCATCTCTACATGTTTCATTTACTTACAGAAACCAAATTGATTTGAACAAAGCTCTATCTATCAATTGATTCCACAGGAGAACGAAACGACAACAAAATCATAAATTTAACCCTAATCACAACGAAGAAACCACCCTAAACCTTAAACCCTAAACCCTTGTTGCAAATCAAAACTTACTTCAAAATCAATTGAAGATTAAGCGGAGTAATAGACAAATCTCTGTATACACAAACTTGAGCAGAAACTTTTTCACGAGAACTACAATAGAAATGGAGAATCTACGAGTACCTTAGATTAATACAATCGCAAAGCTTTCTCGAGAGAAAGAAAGAAAAAATCGCTAGGGTTTGTGATTCTGATTCAGAGATGTGGGAAGAAGACGAAGAGGCAGATATGGGCCGGAAAAATATTGGGTAGGCCCAATAAGGGAAAGCTCGGCTTCTCGATGAGGTTCTTTCGTCATTGTAGGGTCCACTTAAAAACCTATTCTTCGGGGTGTTTGTTTAACTTGTTTTTGTCAAATTCATTTTTTTCCAATTAAATATTAACTTGCGTTGACAACAACCAAAAAATAATAATTTGCTAAATTGAATATTTTAATCATTCTATCCGTTTCAAAATAATTTTTATGGTTTCGTATTTTCAATTAAAAATATTTGATAAAAGTTCCATAATATTTCTATTAATCTTGTATATTATATTGATAAAAATTTTAGAGTGGATTAATAAAAATATATAAG